TCAATATAACCACACGGCCCTTAACAGTGCAAGAAGGAGGCAGAACAGTCAATAAGAGAGACAAGCTGTGGAAACAGAGGCAGGAGAAATTTGAAGCATGAGAGGGATTCAACCATTCCTGGCTTTTAAGTTGCAGAATGCAGCTACGACCTGAGAGCGACCTCTAGAAACTGAGAACAGCCCAGGCTGATGGCATGGAAATGGGGCCCTCAGTTCTACAACCACTAAGAACTGAATTCTGCCACCAACATGAGTGAAAAAGGGACTCTGCCCTAGACCCTCCAGAAAAGAACACAGTCCTGCCAACACCACCTTGGTTTTGGCTTTATGAGACTCCAGAGAAACCAGCTGACATCATGGACTCCTGACCTATGGAAACTGTAGATAATAAGCTTGTGTTGTTTTAAGCCTCAAATGTATGGTAATTAGTTGTAGCAGCAACAAAAACTAATACAGCATAACTACATACCTCTAGGTATTTCTCAAATCCCCTAAAACTACCAAAAAGAGAGTGAGCGAGAGAGACAGATTTTACTGTGTATAAATTTACCAAAAAAAATTTTTAATGCTCTTGCTTTTAAGGATTATTCCTGTTGGACAAAAAAGAAGTTCCAGCTATATTTCTTCATTTATTCAGCACTTAATCACCACAATGATAACTCAGGCTTGGAATTTGGTCTCTGTCCCAGCTCCTGCCTTCGTCACCCACCCACCTCCCAGAACTAGTCTAAGCTCCTGCAGACAGCGGCCACCTTCCACACCACTCACCAGATTTGTGGCTTTTTTGCTCCGGCTCTCAAGCAGGCTGGAACTTATTGTACATGGCCTCAGGGGGAAGCACCCATCTTTAATACGACCTGCTTTCCCAGGACTTTGAACCAGAGAATGAAAGAAAAGCTCCAAACTGAAGAATCTTACAGTGAACCTCACAGGAAACTCCATGACAGTTTCCATTAACACAGATGCATCAAAACCAGTAGGCAGAGCCCAAAGTAATGGATGACTCACTGGGATTTTTAGCAGACAGTGGAAGGGTACTCCGAGAAATGCTGTAAATCCAAGGTACTTCTCTGGAGAATTAATGTGGAATCCCTTTGCTTATCACTAGGCCACGCCCGCCCTCTACTTCTAGCTCACCACCAGTGCAATTAGGCCTCCTAATTTTTAATAAAGCTGAATACAGTTCTCTCCCAGTTTTCTTACAGCATTTTAAATATAGTATATGCTATCTTACCTGGCCTGCTCAAAAGAATAGCGCTTCTCTTTAAAATCGTTTCTTAACTACTCCACAGCCTGCAGCCAACTAAAAGTCCATAAAATAAATATACCAAAGTAAAGATTTCTAGACTCAACAAAGAGATCAATAAATATTTATTGAGTACCTTCTATGGAGAAAGCCCTGAGAAGTATAAAGAAGCAAGACACGGAAGGTCCTTGTCTCTCTCTGTACATGGCTTACAATGCCATTAGACAAATAATCAAAACTAATAATCATCTAAGGCAAAATATTATGTGATCGTATACAAACTAAATGCTATAGGAGTTCAAAGTGGGGAGAGATAGTGGCTGGGGACGTCAGGAAAGAAAGCTTTGCACAAGAGCTGAAAAAAAATGCAAGAATAGTGAAATTGATTCCTCCAAGACAGGACATTTTCTTAAACAGAGAAATCTAGAAACCCCACCTGCAAAATCTCCCTGTTAGCATACATATCTATAAGATTTGGACATGACTTTAAAGAGAAGAAAAATTTATCCCAATTTCAAAAACAAAAAGCATTTCTGGGATTCTGAATTTGGACTAACAGTAACTCCACAGAAATTCATTCTTTAGTGGTTCTCTGTTGAGGATGAAGGGTACTGACATTTCTGGATGGTTCTCAGCTTCTTTGGTTATCCCCACCATCTGCACCCCTGCAAGCAAGGAAGGGAGTACCCATCGGAGGCAGTCTCTCCCTGGAACTAAGCCATGTGGGCTGGTTCCAACTGAACTGACTGGGGAGCCATTCTATTCAGTGTGCAAAGCGTGATACAGGCTGCCAGATCTGCCATTCCCCTTAGTTACACATTATTAATTAGGAATGGAAAGGGTCCTAGCACATGCCAACCTAAGTCCCAACACACTCAGCATCCAGCAGTTTTGAAGCCACACTCACCAAAGATGTGTATATTGAATGTTCACAGCAACTCTGTCTACATTAGCCCCACATTGGAAACTATCCAGATGTCTACCAACAGTCAACAGACAAATAAACCACGCTATATTCATATAGTGGGATGCAACAGAACAATGAGGATGAACAACCTGCCATCGCCGGCCACAACATGGACAAATTTGACAAGCACGATGTTTAGCACAAGAAGGTACACACAAAAGCAAACACACTGTTTGGTTTTATGTATATAAAGTTTAAAAAAAAAAAGCTAAACTGTTCTATGGCATTAGAAGTCAGGACAGTGGTCACCCTGAAGCAGGAGGAATTTGCAGCAGGAAGGGACATGAGGGGAACTTCTGGGGTCCTGGAAACATCTGTTTCTTAGTTGGAGAGGTAATTACAAAAGGGTGTTTACTTTATAAAAACTCACCAAGCTGTAAAATTATGTGACCCCTTTTTACATGAATGCTTTATTTCAATAAGAAATTTATCTTAAAACTGAAAACTGTGCTGTATTAAAGGAGCATGGTAAGATCAGCCAAAATTTAACAGTACAGTGGAAGACCTACATGTGTGTTCCCATACACAATTTTTATTTAAATTATTTATTTTATATGGTGACCATTTTATGATAAAATTTATTTTCTATAATTTGTTTTAACTGATTTGGTCAAAACATATATTTAGATGGGAAATACATACTCAGAGTAATGTCATAATATTAAAGAAAGTTAACCCTTTCTTTAGGGTTTCACATACACACAACCGCGAACCTACTTTTATCCCACCCTGTATTACTGCATTTTGTTAGTCCTGGTCTGTTGCTTTGAGAAGAAAGAGAAAGAGAAGGAAGAGGAGGAGAAAAAGAGAAAGAGGAAATTTCTCCAGGCTGTTCTTTAAAACTTCTGAGAGGAAAAAAAAAGTAGGGGGGTCACCAGAACATGTTCCAGTGCTGCACAATAATTTGTTTTAAAAAATTGTTACAAGGCAAGGGGCAGGGACTAAATGTACCCAGTAACTCCCACTCTAAGCCCAGACTGTAAGCTGATCCCAGCTGAGAGATGTAACCCAAACGACTGACCATTTGCCCCCAGGCACTGGCCATGAATATATCACTATCCCATATCTGCTATTAATAACAGAATTTTCCTCCTCATCAATAGTTGTAGCATATATCTCTTCAATTTAACACTAAGCAGAGATAAAACTCCTCTTGTCGACCCTCATAGGTCGTCTCTCAGAATGAACGCCCATCCACACAGCATGTAGAAGTCACAGTATCCTGGGGACTGAAAATGGGGAGGGGAGAAAAGGTCGACAGGGGGAGCTGCCTTCCTAAGGGAGGATCACGATGAAGCCCAGATGCCAAGGCCAGAGCCTTGCTTTGGCCAGGGGGATGAGGGGAGCTGCTGTGTGTTGGGGGCGGGGGAGGGGGCGCGGTGTCCAACCTACTGGTACCTTTAGTTTAGCACCTGCTAATCCCCGAGCCCTTAGCTGAGGCACAACCTTGGTGAAGATGCTGGGGACTGCTTGGGCTGGCAAACGTCGGCCTCTGGTTTGAGAAAGGCCTCGCAGACTCTGGCAGAGACCCTCCGTAAAATGTCACCTGTCAGTCACTTAACTTAAACACACCAGCCACTCGCGGGAATGGGAGGGAGGGGGTTAGTCCGAGCATGCTCAGTGATCGAGATGACATCACTTAATCAATGCTGGGGACGGGAAGGCTGCATCAGCAGCCTCCAGCGGGCTGCCAGGAACGTGTCAGCGGGGATCGGGAGGCTCCCATTAACTCGGTCCCTCCCCGCGCGGCTCGCATACAAAGAGGGCACCATCAGCCACACACGCTGGGGAGAGCGGGGCGGGGCGGGGGGAGGGTAAGACTGGTTTATTTCAATCGATATATTCCTTTAAGAACTAAAAACTCATGATACTCCCTCCCTCATCAGCAGCCCCAGCTGCAAAGGTGGGGGTGGGGGAGGGCAGAGGGGGAAAGGGAAAGGTGAGAAGGTAGATCGAGAGGGAGGGGGGCCTAGCCACACAAAGTAACTTCTGCTCTTTGCAGAGTGGGCCTATTGGGCTGCGCTCGGGGCCCCTTAGCCCCACAGATGTGGGCGCACAGCCTTCTCTCCACTCAGCATGAAGCACATCGAGGGTCTGCGGACACCAGTTTGGGAAGTCACCCCCCACTGAGGGGGGTGAGGGGGGCGGTTCGGACCCGGGCTCCAAGACCGAGGCAGCCTGGGTTGAGAAGAAGCTGGAGACAAACCAGGCCTCCCGGGGACACCAAGGCCACCGGTGTTCCCTGCACCCCCAGTATTCAGCTAGCAGAGCAAGGTGAAACGCCGAGGGCAGCGCTGTCTACATGGCCGTAGGAGACAAGGCTAGGATTTTTCCAGTACCTTTTTTTTCTCCTTCTTTTACTAAGATCGTGAGAAAAGGCAGGGTTCAATAGATCGAACTGATCCTTAGAAACATTTGTGGGTTTGCAGAGCTCACACTTTAAAGGGGGAGCCTGGGCACCCCGACTTGAGGGTAACCTGAACACACTACCCACGGGCATGATGAGGGCGGGGAACAAAAGGCCCACCCGAGCCCCCACCCCGCGAACAATGGCGGCGCCGAACCCTTCCTCGCCCCCCACCCCCACCTTCACCACCTGAGGCCCGCACCCGCCAGGGAGGGAACTATGATGCGAGGGCAGGGGGGTCTCTCGTCAAGTCCACCCGAGAAAGCAGCCTCGCGGGGATGTCCGAAGGGGCGGCCCGAGCATCTCTGCTCGGTCTGGGGCGTCGGGGCGCCGAGCTGCGGCGCGAAGCAAGGGGGAGGCCAAGCGCCCCGGCCACTTACCCCGATTACCACGGTATCATCGCCTTTAAATTTGGGGATGAATTTGTCCCCGCGGAGGATCTCCGCTTCGTTGAGGGGCCGGAACCGGCACATCACTTTGATGCTGCATTCAGCTGGATCCGCCATCTCGGCCGGCGGCAGGGAGGGGGCGCGGGGAAGGGGTGGGGGACCGGGGCTCGGCACGACGAGAAAGGAGGCCGCGAACCGCACCGCCCGCAACGAGGCCGCCTCCAGCAGCCTCGACGAAGCTTCTCAGCAGATCATCGCGAATTCGGAGGATGGGCAGCTCCGGCAGCTCGGAGACCGGGGAGGTGGGCAGTCTATCAGCCTCCGGCCCCGCCGACTGCAGGTCTACCTTCCCTGGCCCTGCCCTGGCCCTGCGCTGCGCCCGGACCGACTGCCCGCGACCACGCGGCCGGACCAGGCGATGCGCAGGGAGCGAGCCTCGCCCGGCTCAGACCTCCCGGGCTCCTGCGCGCTCAGCCATCCTGCATCAGCACCAGCGCGCTCTCCGGCCCGCCCCTCGGCCCCAGGGCCCCGCCCCCGCCTGGCCGCCCGGGGCGATAACGTCACTGCAGAGATCCGCCCCGGCTGCGAGGCGGAGCATCCTGGGACTTGTAGTCGCGTCACCTGCAGGTGGAAAGACAAGGATGCTTGGAGTTGGCTTTCTGGGACAGCGGTGGTACCTCGGGTGCAACCTTCAAGAACCTGCAGGTCTGGCCTGGCTGCCCGAGTCAAGAAAAGGATGGAGGTCATATCCAATACTCCCGGTTAAAATCTCTATAAATAACCAGGCCTATATTGTCTCTACACCTCAACCAAACAGTTAGGGAGCATTTTCTCTAGGAACCGAATCCGAAACCCAGGCATGTGCCCCGACCAGGAATACAACCGGGCGACCTTCCGCTTTGAGTGATGACGCCCAACCGAGTCACACCAGTCAGGGCTCATAGCATATTTTGGTCAGGGATTCCTTTAACATCTGATGAAGTTAGGTACCTTTTCAACTGAAAAAAAAAAAAAAGACGACCCCATACACACCCACAGATTTTTTTCATGCTATTTCAGAGGGTTTGGGAACAACTTGAAGCCTGCCTGCGATTCCCAGGTTAAGAACCTCTAATAACTATTAGTTATTACAGTTTACAGAACCTCTGCCTAATGCCTACCTAGAATCCTGTAATATGTACAGAATATATACAGGATCAAGCCCCAAATCCTTCAAAATACACTCAGGCCCCACAATCAGATTTCTTCCTACTCACTAGCCTCATCTTTTGCCACTTCTTGTCTGGATGTTTACACTATGAAAAATCCCACACTCCTTGTGGCACCCTCCTTCAACTCTTGCTCTGCTTGCTTCTGCTATCTTGTTTAAGCCATTTGATCTCCTGGAGTCACCCATTCATGCCTCTTACTAAGTATTAGAGCTCTTATGGTGGAAAGTGATTGAAACCCGACTGTAGCCACTGAGGCAAAAGGAGTATTTATCAGAAGAATACAGATTTATCCTGCTTATTCAAGAAATGATTAAACAACCCAGCCAGAGCATGGGCAGCCAATGGAGACTCCCTCTCTCTGCCCCCCGCCCCGGCCGCCCCCCTCCCCGCCGCCAGTCCTTGTTTTCTCTGTGTTGGCCTCACTCATTCTCACTCTAGATCATCCTTCCAATGTCAGGAAGGCCAGCTGCCAACAACCCCTGGGTTTCATTCTTCAGTTTCTCCCACTAGATAAGGATAGATTTTTTAAAATTTTTTAATATATATTTTATTGATTATGCTATTACCGTTGCCCATTTTTTCTCCCCTTTATTTCCTTCCATCCTTCACCACCCCAGCCCCCAGAATTGCCCCCCCTTAGTTCATGTCCACATGTCCAAGGGTTGTACATATAAGTTCTTTGGCTTCTCCATTTCCTATGCTATTCTTAACCTCCCCCTGCCTATTTTGTACCTACTATTGATACTGCTTAGGCCCTGTACCTTTTCCCCTATTCTTCCCCCTCCCCCTCTCCTCTATTTTACTGTTCATGGTTTTTTATCTTCTTTTTCTTAAATAAGTCCCTTTAACATTTCATATAATAAGAGCTTGGTAATAATGAACTCCTTTAACTTGACCTTGTCTGGGAAGCACTTTATCTGCCCTTCCATTCTAAATGATAGCTTTGCTGGATAGAGTAATCTGGGATGTAGGTCCTTGTTTTTCATGACTTTGAATACTTCTTGCCAGTCCCTTCTTGCCTGCAATGTTTCTTTTGAGAAATCAGGTGATAGTCTTATAGGAACTCCTTTGTAGATAACTGTCTCATTTTCTCTTGCTGCTTTTAAGATTCTCTCTGTATCTTGAATCTTGGGTAACTTAATTATGATGTGCTTTGGTGTGTGCTTCCTTGGGTCCAACTTCTTTGGGACTCTCTGAGCTTCCTGGAGCTCCTGGAAGTCTATTTCCTTTGCCAGATTGGGGAAGTTCTCCTTTCATTATTTTTTCAAATAAGTTTTCAATTTCTTGCTCTTATTCTTCTCTTTCTGGCACCCCTAAGATTTGGATGTTGGATCGTTGAAAGTTGTCCCAGAGGTTCCTAAGCCTCTCCTCATTTTTTTCAATTCTTGCTTCTTCTTTCTGCTCTGGTTGAATGATTATCTCTTCCTTCTGCCCCCAATCATTGATTTGAGCCCCGGTTTCCTTCCCTTTACTGTTGGTTCCCTGTGTATTTTTCTTTGTTTCACTTTGCATAGCCTTCACTTTTTCCTCCATTTTGCGATCATACTCAACCAATTCAGGGAGCATCCTGATTACCAGTGTTTTGAACTGTGCATCTGATAGGTTGACTATCTCTTCATCGCTTAGTTCTATTTTTGGAGCTTTGATCTGTTCTTTCATTTGAGCCATATTTCATTGTCTCAGTGTGCCTATTATGTTGGAAGGAGCAGAGTCTTAGTTATTTGCCAGGGCAGGGCAACCCAGGTCATTGCTTTGTGACACTGAATGTGGGGGAGGGGTTCGAGAGTGAACAAAGCCCCTTGTTTGGCTCTCAGAAGGCTTTAGTCACTTCCCCCGCTACCCACAAGAAAATTGGGCCCTTCTGGTGCTGATTCCCGGGTGGCTGGGTGTGTGTACATTCTAGGTCCCTGTGGGTCTCTCCAATGGACTCTCTTGTGAGGCTAGGAGTTTCTCCTGCAGCCACAACCTCCACAGGTTTTTACCTCCAGAGGTTTTGAGGCTCTCTTTGCCCTCACTGGAACCCTGGATTTCACAGTCTGACTTGCTCCCCATCTGTTCCTCCAGTTTATCCACACGCAAATGTGGGACCGCCCATTCTGCCAGCTGCAGCCTTGCGGCATGTCCTCTCTGCCCAAGCTGCTCATCTCTGCCCCTCCTACTGGTCTAGATGAATGTTTCTTCTGCACACCTGCTCTTAGCCAAAAGGCTGAGAAGCAATTAAATGAATGTTTCTTAGCTCCTTGGTTGTCAGACTTCCATACAGTTCAATTTTCTGGCAGTTCTGATTATTTTTTGTTTTTAAATTTGTTGTCCTTCTTTTCGTTGTGCAAGGAGGCAAAGTGTATCTATCTATGCCTCCATCTTGGCCGGTAGGATACATATTGTTTCAGAGTTTTAGTTTTAAAAATTCTAGGGAAAGTCTATGATTGGCCTTGGCTTAGGTTGGTGTCTTGCCCTAGACCAGTCAGCCGTTGACAGGGAATCTGTAAGATCATGGGGGAATCCCATGGTTGGAAGGTTCCCAAAAGAAAAGGATGTCATTCCCTCCAGTAATGTCCATCAGTGAAGTTTCTACACCACACCATCTTATGTCAATGGTGCTTGGAGGAATTAATCCCAGCATGGGTACAAGAAGGGCCACCTGCCCCCACAGCTACTGGCTGAGGCCCACACAGCCGGAGCAGCAGCAGCAGCAGCAGCAGCAGCATGCTGCAGGCAGACCACAATCCTGGAGGTGCACGTGGTGACCAGAGCAGACAGAGTAGAGACACAGCAGAGCTGACAGGGAGTTTAGGAGCAAAACCACTGAGGAGAGGTGGTCTTAGAGGAAGACGACCCTGAAAGGGAAATGGAAGGATAAGTCCTGCTGTTACAAGGAAGATCCATTTTAATCACCCCAACCTTTCTGCTCAGTGCTTCCCTTCGCAAACCTTCACTCCTCACCATTCTCCAAGCATTGGACACATCATGTCAGCTCTGACTCTTTACACGTACCCAGTGGGTCCCTCTCACCTGTCTGCCTTTTTAAATCCTAGCTATCCCCGAAGACTATAAGACTTTCTATAAAACCTCCTGATATAGGGTTTCCATTGGAGTGATGAAAAAGTTCTGGAGCTAGGTAGTGGGATGGTTGCACAATATTGTGGATATACTTAATGCCACTGAATGGTACACCTTAAGATGGTTAAAATGGTAAAAGTATATGTCATGTGTAAGTGGATAAACAAAATGTGATATTAACTCTGGCTGGTGTGACTTAGTGGATTGAGTGCCAGCCTTTGAACCAAAAGGTCGCTGGTTCAATTCCCAGTCAGGGCACATGCTCAAATTGTGGGCCAGGTCCCCAGGTGGGGGTGTGCGAGAGACAGCTGATCAATATATCTCCCGCACATCGATGTTTCTCTCCCTCTCTCTCTCCCTCCCTTCCCCTCAGTCTAAAAATAAATAAATAAAATCTTTTTTAAAAATGTGATATATATACAGTATACTTGTGTGTATATATATGTGATGATATTCATAAATATGAGTTTTATTCAGCCATAAAAAAAATGAAATCCTATCATTTGCAAGAAGGATGGACCTTAAGGGCATTATGTTAAGTGGAATAAGTCAAATAGAGAAAGACATGTACCATATGATCTCACATATGTGAAATCTAAAAAAATACACAAACCAGATTTGTAGGTACAGAGGACATGTTGGTATTTAGCAGAGGTATGGGTGGGGTGAGGGTGAAATGGGTAAAGGTGGTTAAAAGTTAAAAAACCTCTAATTATAAGAAGAAGAAGCCATGGGGGTATAATGCACAGCATGGTGACTGTAGTTGACAATACTGTATAGTATATCTGAGAGCTAAAAAGAGAGAAGATCTTGAAAGTTCTCATCATAAGTAAAAAAAATTCTGTAACCATGTGTATTGATGGATGTTGACTAAACTTCTCCTGGTCATCGTTTCACAGTATATACAAATATCAAACCATTATGTTGTACACCTAAACTAATACAATGTTCTATGTCAGTTATATCTCAATTTTTTTAAATAAATAATATTGAAAGGAAAAGAAGTTGAATTTTTAAGAAAACACCTTCCTGCACAGCTCTAGTTCCTGAGGTCTCTGCTTCCTCAGGCCGTCAGTCCCCCAGATTGGGCCCATGAGCACCTGTTGCCTTGCAATGGCATTCCTGCTGTTGTCTGGCGCTGCTCTCTAGTTCTTTCCATGTCACGATATTTCCCTTCATAATAAATGTCTTACGTGTATGCCTTGCCCCTGCG